AGATTATCTATAGGCATATTGATTTAACTGATAGTTGCCTTAACTTTGTCTTATATTTGGTTTAAATCTTTCTGATAAGTATCCTATATCCGCCAAATAACTGATAAATATAGGAGCCAAATCGGCCAGATATCTGTTATAAATATCAGTTCAATTCCATTGTCTTTTTGGAAACCTATCAGTTCATATCAGCATGCTGATAGTTGTCCAGTATGTCTTTATTCGACCTGTGATCATCTTTGGAAATAGAAGCTTCAATAGTATTACCTTTAATATTTTCTAGCTTCTTGTTTTATATTTATACGCCATCCAATCTTAGTTACACCTAATTCAATTAATTGATCATCCGTTAACTCTTTTATACCATTTACTGTAATCCCTTGCTCTTCAAAAGATTTTTCTAAAGCGGCATATATTCTTTTATCATCATAAATTTTATCTAACTTATAAAAAAATTGATTTAAGGAAATGTTATAACTAGTGATAGTTTAGAGTTGAGGTATTTGATAATAAAATAAATTATAAAGATATATATATAGATTAAAGCCTGGTGGTAGCATATTTAATAGTATAGCTGGTAATATGTTTGGTTGTATAGTTTGGTGAGACATAATTTGACTGTTTGGTTGTATAGTTTGGTGAGACATAATTTGACCATAAGGTGTAATTTGATTATAAAATACAGTTTGATTGTGAGATGTAATTTGATTATAGGCTTTGGGTTTTATAGTATTAACCATTCTGAATATAAGATAGGTAGACAGCGTATCAATTGTAGACAAATTTCTAATCTATAAATATTACAATAAAATAAATAAATATATACATATTTCGATAATAATTAGGCCTACTGAAAAATTAATTATAATTAATTTTTGTCATTTATCATACGATTAAAATCAATTAAAATTATTATAAAATTAATTGCAACCCAATTAATGATGAAATAATTGCAATTTTCTTTTGTAAAGTGCTGTCTGGTGTAACCTAGTTTTTAAATAGCAAAAAATCAAAAATCACATATCTGATACGTAGGGTTGTTAATGGGTTAAGTTGAGTTGGTTTGGGTTGACCCAATCTTTAACCCACTCCACTAAATTAGACTTACTCCAATATTTTGTTCCGGGTTGCTCCATTGAGCTCCGGGTTGCTCCAGACTGCTCCAAATTTAAAATCATAATTTTTAACCCACTCCAACTTGGGTTGGTTTCTACTCCAGAATGCTCCGGAGTAATCTACTCTATTAACAACTCTACTGATACGTATTTACAATCTTAACAGCAAATATATGTTATGCGTAAAATTGCAATTAATTGACCAATTGTAGCTACACCACTAATCAATTAAGCTTGAAGCATTGCAATTAATTGCCCTACAGGTAGGCCTGATAATAATATCATTAGTTTATATAAATTATATATATACTATATCACGAGCCCATAATGTTAATCGAGCAGAATTTAACTAGAGATAGCATTTATCTTCAACATAACATAGTATAACATGTTGTGAATATTTATATTTATTTCGAAATTCCATAATAACTTAAGCTTGATTATACTCATCCTCATTTAAATCTGATTCCTTAGGTATATAACTGGTTTTTGAATTATTATTATTTTTTTTAATATTTTCATCGTTAGTAGTATCCTAAATAAAAAAAAAAATTCTAATTAGAACCAAATAATGCATTTGTATTAAAAAATCGTAATGCGATTTATAGAATACTAGAATAAGACGAATCATTTAAAGACTAAATATCAAACTTGTACAACAGAATGCTAGAATATTTTAGTTATTTGGTATGTATGTATGTACATGATTCACTGGAGAGCTTGGTGTATTATGTAAATCAAAACTATATGTGGTATCTTATAAAAATCTATTAATGAAGATTTTTGTGTAACTATAACGATCACTGATTTTATTTAATTTATT